CTTGGAACTATTAGGATGCGATATGTTTTTTTTTCTTTATTTATTACGAAATATCAGAATAGGTATGCCGAAAAATGTTAACAAGAAAAATATTAAACAACTAATATTAAAAATCAATTAAATATTTTTCTATCTGAACTAATAAATATTTTTCTTGTTATAAGATAGAAAAATATTTAATTATTTTTCAGAAAAAACAAATATTAAAGCTGGCGATGACGTCAATATTAAAGCGGTTTTTAGTCAGATAGAAAAATATTTAATTGATTTTTAACATTAGTCTATAGACCCATTTTGATGAATTTTTATGCCAGAGATATCGTTCTCAATACTTTATGATAAAATTTTAGACCCAATTGGATGAATTTTTCAGGCGGAGGGTCGTGATGGTAATATACATGGATAAAAACCTATAGTGGAACATGCCAGAAAATTCTGGGCAAAAATACCTCCTCGATTTTCGTTTTCGATCTTCTGTCTCTGGTATAAGTTTGAACTCAATCGGTCTTTTTGCTCTCGATTTCTCAAGAAGACATCGTTAATTGAAACAAATTGGATGTATGCTGGACACATTTAATGTGTCTTAGACGACACATTTTTATGCAATGAATCGAGCACATCAGAAGATACATGTCTAGAAGGACGGCACATTTGAAGTTTCGTGCAATGTGCCATAAATGTATGCTCTATCTATCCATTGCATAAAAATGTAACTAAGAGGGCAGCTTTTTTTTAAGACATTTGCGACAATGCTTATATCTCCGCGAGAAACGATTGGAAAATTTTGTGAGGCCTCTCATTATGAAGAAAACACTTTGCTCTATCAGATTATGTATAAATGTTTTTTTTGAAGGGACCAGAAAGGAGAGAAAAATTTAAGAAACCAAAAACAATCAAGTTTTTTCGACTTTCGAGCCAAAAATAGTTAAAAAAACTCATAATTATTTTCAAAAGAGTAGAGAAATTCTAGGAGCAATTTTGTTTTGTAGCCTAGACTTTCCTCCACCTTAGTCTATGTTTAGCTTAAAATCGGAAATTCTTTCAAAAAAGAGGGTGTATCCTTAATTATGAGCAGATCTAAGCAAGTCTGTATTATCTAGTTGTTATTCAGATTAATTCTGAGGTTAATAGGCAGAATGACAAGACACCGAACACTGTATACAGTTCCTATAGAACATTCGTGTAAGTTGATTGAAGTAACGCTACTCAGTCGATGAAGATATTTCTCTTATAACAGAGCTGAATCATTAGGATGGGAGTCACAGTGAATCATATCAAAAACTTTCTAACTTTCTACACCAAATTTTGAGTTTATTATACAGAGATGCTATCGCAATATAAAAAAGTATATAAAAAGAGACTGCGGTACCGTAGAATGTGTTGAGATGTACAAGGCAGTGACGTGTTTTATGGCCGTGTTTTATGGCCTAACTGAGGTGTTTTCTTCTAAGGGCAATATTCCATGTGTTCTGTTCTGAGACATTAATGATCAGAACACATTTCAAGGCATACCCATGTGCCATCTTATAAGACAGTTACAGAAAAATGTATAATGCCCCTATACACCGTATATTCTTAACATAGCATTTCAAAGATGTTTGATATAATCTGAAAATGGTACATTCCACGACAACTTTTTGTTTTTACAATGATCTTTGAGATTTCTGTATAAGTATCACTGAGAAAACAACTTTTTCTTTATACTGTTCACAACTAATCATGTCAATCAAAATTCTCCTCTGTATGCTGCTTCAGAGTTCTCTGCTCATAATATAAATCATTCAGAAGTCACAATTCCATTAATATTAAAGTAAACTTCTTAAAGTGGTCACATTATTAGAATACTGCTACCGTTTTTTGATAATAATATTCTAGTTTAACCTGAATAATTTTCGACGATAGATAATCCTGATAAAGAAGTTGAATATTTTCTAGTTGAACACTGAAAAATCTCCTGTAAAAATCTTTTTACTAAACGCTCGCCAGACTGCATACTGTAGCACAGAGGACACGTCTCTATTATTCTTTTCAAAACATGTGATTAACAGAAACTTTTTAAATAACTTCTGAATGAAGACAGATAGAGAATTGCGGTTTTGCCCATTCAAGAGACATCTTTTAGTAAGCAGAGCGAAAGTAAATTTTCTAGAAGATGTTTTGAAAAACAGGTAATGTCTCCAATACTTCAACTACGAATATTTTCATTTTTTTTATTAATAGATAGACCAGAGTGCGGTCAAAACCTTGTAAAAATCACGTTTTAACGAAAACTGGGATTTCCAGACTGTTTTCATCTAATACTAAAAAATTCACAATTCACTCAGAAAACAGCAAAGCCAGTTGAAAACCTCAACATGTAGTTATACTATTCTATATTTTATTGATAGTAGGTCTACAAAAAATAAATTTACAAAAGTTTATTTTTTTCCGAAAGGGCTTCTAGAAAACCTTTGGACAAAGGTATAGTTTTCAATATTTTCAACCGTATAATGGTCACTCTGGTCTATCTATCCATAAAAAAAATGAAAATATTCGTAGTTGAAGTATTGAAGAAATTACCTATTTTTTAAAAAATCTTCTAGAAAATCTACTTTCATTTTGCTCACTAAAAGATGTCTCTTGGCTTCCTTTACTTGAATGACTAAAACCGCAAATTCTCTATCTGTCTTTATTCAGAAGTTATTTAAAAAGTTTGTGTTAATCACGTGCTCTGGAAAGATTAATACAATTAGTTTTACTTTGGTTGTCCGTCCACTGTTATGTAAAAGAAAGCCACCATGATCTCGACTACTTTTCCTGACTAGACCATATTGTTGATGTCTGGTATTTCAAATAGACAAAACACAGGAAAAAAGTAGAAGAACTAACGAAAATTTTCCTAACATTTCCTTGATAAAGTTTTTCGAACTGTAGTGCAAAAAATCTTTGTTGATTTGGAAATTCGCTTCATCACACACATATCCGTTGAAAAAATTCTTAAACGTCTAATGGTTAATGTGTAGAAAGTTAGTATTCTAATCTCTCAGTTGATCCTACAATTATTGTTTATCATTAATATAAATGGAGGTGAAGTATGTAGTTGTTATGCTGTCACGGAAGTTTTCTTTTCTACTTTAAATAATCTTGAATGAAGGTTTGTTCTTAGTCAGTGTTATTTTTAAACTATCGACTCCATTATTGTGATTAAAATACAGAAAAAAAAACAAGATTTTTCTATTGTTATTACTTTATATCAAAACACGTTCAGTTTTTTTTTTTGAAATTTAAGTGTTCGTCTATATAGTCGTCGTTGGAATAGAAGAACTGAAGCCGAACAATATAACTTTTACTATAAAAATAGAATTTTACAACAAAAAAAGGGTAATGAACCACCTCTCTATTTTTAGTTGTGTTCATTTTTCTCCTCTTTTTCCCTTTTTACTCTCGTATTTATTGTCGATGGGTATAAAGATCAATTATAAAACAAAAGCAGCTTATTTCCAGTTTATTAAGTCAGTATTCACAAATGGCCACATCATCATCGGTAACAACTATTGAACGATTTTGTTTCGTATTTATACAAATATTATTTTACGTAATATTAACAACAATATTTTATATTAAATTTGAACAATTTACTAATAAACAAGAAAAATTAATTAAAACAATTTTAAGTAATAATTATCAAAATTTAAATGTATCATCGCATATATTAGTGAAAAAATTATTTGAACAATGTACCAAATGTATTAAACGTCGTCCATGCATGTATAGAACACAATTTTTATAATTTTTCATATAGGTTAAATTTTTATCATTATTTATTATTATTCTAGTTTACAACGAAGACGATTACCTATCAATGAGAAGCTTAAGACAAACTATAGTTTTAACAAACATTACGATAGTATGTAGTATTAGTTCTTTTTTGTTTCTTTCATGAAAAAAGACAAAAAAAAAGAAAAATAGTTATAATTAACATAAAAGTTGGTCGGAAATCAATTATAGTAGGTAGTGTATGATCTTCATCAAGTTTAGAACTCCATGACATATCACTTCATCACTGTATATAACGGATGATCAAGATATAATAGATAATTTTGTAATTTACTTATATTTTTGTTATCCTGAAGATTCCTTTCTTTTTAAGTAAAATAGTCGTTGTGAAACAACCGTCTACGAAAAATGCGTTAAGCTCTAAAAAGGTTAATTTTTTAAAGTACTTAACCAACTAAAATTGTATTATTAAATGAAAATGTACTAGTCAGTTACATTTGACAAGATCTTTTGATATTGTCACGTGTACTCGTTCTTCTCGTGTATAATAAAGTTCTTTTAAATCTAATTTTACGGCAAGAAAAGCAATTTCATTAAAATCTTCTAAAAACAACACAATTTTAATCTTTTCACTCAGCATATTAGTTTCGATGCTCGTCGTATTTGGATATAATAGACACATTGTTTCTCTTTAAAAAAAGAAAAAATCTGAATCGAATATGTTTGACTTTGAATGAGTTATGAGATTTTTACTCAACGATGTGAAGTTGTTTTCTATGAATAACAATTTTTCATAAAACGAAAAAGAGGGAAAAAATTCTTATATAACCAGTTCTAAGATGACAAAATTTAGTTACTAATATAGCTTTTCAACAGCAGCAAAGTGTCTAATTAGATTTTTTCGCATATCACCAGCCAATGGAATAAAAGAACGTGAATCGATATTTTAGGTTAAAAAGTTGATCATTTTAGAGCTCCTCACCATTTCTCGTATAACGTTTCATTTTCATCTTTTGTAATAAAACACTTAACACATTTTGTGTAGGGCTGTGACAGTTACCAGTTACTGTTACCACCGTTACTCGGTAACTGTAACTGCTGAACAGTTGACGTTCTTGATAACGGTAACGGATAAGCAGTTACCGTACAAGTAACGATAACGACTAGTTACAAGTAACGGTAACTGGTCAGTACATCTTTCAAGAATCAAATCTCTAAATATCTAGGTATCCAGGGTGAGGGTGAGGCTACAAACTTTCACCCTCACCCTGGATACCTAGATATTTGACTCTCGTTACTGTAACGCTAATGGTAACTGTCACAGCCCTAATTTTGTGTAGAGAATGTCACAACAGCTCTTTTACCATATAAAAAAAACAATCTTAGGGATAACAGAGATATAAATAAATTACAAAATTATCCATTCATCAATCAATCCGCTAAAGGAAATAATAAGACTATCGAATTTCAACTAAAAAAAAAGAGAATAAACAATCAATTACCATCATTTTAATTTATTCTTAGACCATTCAGATCGTTCATTATATACCAGACATCATAACTGGATTAGTTACAAACAAAATAGAACTACAAAATGCTTAGAATTAGATATTGGTTCTAATCAAACGATTCAAGATGTATTTTGTCAAAATGAAAACCAAACATGGTTAATAATACAAACTCGTCAAACTACTACGGAAAATTTTAATCGTACATGGTTAGACTATCGAAATGGTTTTGGTAATTTAATAACGAAAGATTACTGGCTAGGTAATGAAAATATTCATTGGTTAACAACAATGTATGAATGTCGATTGAAAATAATTTTAACCGATTGGTACAATGAATCTAGATATGCTATTTACGACTATTTTCATATTACTAATGAAGCTGATAATTATCGATTGTTAATTGATGATTATCATGGAAATATAGAAATTAATAATAATAAACTAAACAGTAGGTACACTTATTTTATCTATAAGTTAACTTATTTACCATTTTTGAAAGCGATTTTTTTGACTGAAAAAAGATTCTAACAGAAGGTCAATGAAACAGAGAAATCCCAAATCCTACACATACCCTAGATTATTAGCCATGATGACAATCGATTGAGTTCACTCGAGGTTATCTTTCATTGAATTTCATAAAATAGTCAAATATTAAGCAATTTCCACTCCACAAAAATTCTTCTTTTTCTTCTTATCGATAACATTTTTCTAGGTCTTATATTATGGCATAATAAAGCCGAATTTTCAACGTACGATCATTACTCGACACTCCTCAATTGCCCACATCTCTTTGGTGGAGGTGGTTGGTGGTATACTTCTGATTTATCATGTGGACGAGTTCAACTGAATGGCCATTTAGCAACTCATCCAGATGGTTTAGTCCCATTAAATACAGGTATCATGTGGCTCACGTGGAAAAATGATAGACACTATTCATTTCAATCTGTTCAAATGTTAATCAAACAAAAAACCAAAAAAATAAAATATACTTGATGCCGTGAACCCAAAAAGCTTTCTGAATGTTTTTCGGCAGCTTTTTTCAAATTTGTTAGAGCTGTTGATTCTAATATACGTTCATCGTCTGTTAAATTGTTTTGTGTTGATGAACGATGTTGCATCAATGCTAATATACGTAATACACAGCTAAATATAAATAGATCACAAGAAAAAGGTTAATGATCAAATGCAACAACAAAGTTCAGAGAAAAAAATGTCTAGTTTTCTATGACCAACTGTGAATAAGACGACTAACAGATTTACTTACATGTATATTGTACCATCTTCTAATAACTTTGATTGTATTAATTGTTGATTTGTCACCATAAGATCAAAACGAAATGGATCAATATTTAATAAACATTGAAGTATGGCATTCATATAACATGTACTACCAATGTTTTTTAATCCTTTTTTTCTTAAATTTGATGTTGATAATGGTGATGATGATGTTGGTGTTGTGGATGATAGTTTTGATAGTGACTTTGTCGCATAAAAACTGTAATTGCGATTCGGTGAATCGTCAAAACTGTAATCATCGTATTTTGAGTAAAATGGTAATGTTGTTATGGATGTTTTTGATGTTGAAGGTTTGCGAACTGAGTTCATGGTAATGGTGGCCGTTTTATCGAATATTCGAGGAATATTACTAGTATTATTAATGTTTTTATTACTGTTATTTGCACAAGTGTTACTATACAAAGACATATTTCCATTATTTTTGGATGTAAATGGTTGTGTAGAAGAGATCTCCGCCGTTCTTTTACGGTTGATACTAAAAAGAGTAGATAAAAACAAAAATGTTCTAATAGAGGCAATGAAATATAATCGAGATACATACTTTGAGTGATTGATCGATGATGAATGTAACTGTTCGTTTGCGTTTGAAGTTTCACGATAGAATCTTTGACTGCGACTAGAAAAAATCAACGAGTTAAACGATCAGTTAAAATTATCATATATTTAAACTTACTTTTGTAATGATATAGACTTATTTATGTGTGGTGAATTTTCATCATTTTCATCTTGATACGAAAATTCTTCTTTCATTTTATCGAATTTGCTTGTTTTTAATTTTGTTGATGATGGTGATAACGACATTGAGGAAGAATAAGACGGTAGTAGCGTATTATTTTCGTTACTTAATTTGCTTTTTGAATTAAATGATAAAAATGATGTTGACGTGTTCATTGATGACAAATTTAAGCTCGCATTTGGATCGGTACTACATTCAGACATATTTGATGCTAAAAACAGAGATTAAACAAACGTATAATACAAAGCTACTTGTTTATAAAGTACAATATATTCTAGGATGATTCATGTCAAAACGTTACGTTATTTATTAGACGATTAGCATATTTATCTCAGTACTACTCGCTAATACAAAGATGAATGATTTTCTAGCTGTTTTGTTTGGCCTACTACTAACGTCTGATCTAGATATATCAAAAACTTGATTGTTATCAAAGTAAAAGCTAATAAACTGCTAATAATAAACATCCATATAATTTGTGAACTACATATGCTCACCAATGAGATTATCGTTTAACAAATCTTGAAATGCATTTTCTAATTTTTGAACTAACGACGGATCGTCCATATTCGATAATTTAAGTTGACGTTTGTCTTTAAGATTGAATGCAAGTGATTTTGGATCATTTTTGATAACTTTTGATAATGTTTCTTTACTTAACGTATATGTAGCAACATTAATACCTAAAACAATACGAACAAATACAATATATAAAAAATAAATGATATTTAATAAAATATTAACCTTGTGTCGATATGATTACACATACTGATGTATCATGAAATAAAAATTCAAACAATGACGTTTTTCTACTTTTTAATTTTGAATGTGTCGAATCAAGTGCAGTGCCTTTACATTGTATTCTAGCAGTCATTTTTTATTAATATTTTAAATCGAATCATTTATCTAGAACAAAAGTTGAAAATAAGCACACGTAAAAAACGAAGATACAAAACTTTGATGAAACCTGCTAATGAAATAAAATCAACTTAAGATCACAGTAAACTAACACTATCCTATTAACGGGTAATCCAGAATAAAGCGATCACTTAGTATTTTATTCATATCTCAGTTGAATTTGCCTTTTTTAATAGATGTGCCGTAAAATTCTCTACAAAAAGTGTATTGAACATTTTTCCATAAACCGTAAAAGTAGAAGAATATAGATTAAGTAATGCGAAGCTTCATTCTCTATGACATCGCAGTCCCCGAAACATAGTTTTTCCAGTTTTAATGCTACATATTTTCTGAAACTAAAAAAAGTGAGACGATAACGATTTTGAAGCCTTTAAAAAGCTTTAACAACTGGTCATATTTAAAACTGTTCATAAGCATAGTCCGTTGTGAGAGAATGTTTTTTCTTTTATCGCTTTTGCCAAAATGCAGCAGTTTTCAACTGCAATTTTGGGACATTAAGAAAATTTGTATAACTCAGTCAAAACCAAACATTTTGTGATCGAGCTTATTTTATCCTAAAGCAAAATACTTCTTCGGTTACATCCAAACAGAGAAAGTTCCATAACTCCATGTCTTTTCCTTCGTCAACGAAGAACGCGTCCAAATTCTCCTTCTTTTGGCGAATTTTAGTAAAATCGTCTTTTGTACAAGAAAAGCGTGTCTAAGTCAAATTTATGATAGGCGAAAAGAGCGAGGACATTTCGGAGCACCAGAACATACGTTTTGATACCACTTTTATATATTGTACTGTGTTCAAAAATTTGTTTTCCGCGTTGTTTTGGGGGCTGCGAAGCCATGGAGATTGAAGCTTCGCATTACTTAATCTATATTCTTCTACTTTTACGGTTTATGGAAAAATGTTCAATATACTTTTTGTAGAGAATTTCACGAAACATCTTTTAAAAAAAAGATAAAACTTAAGGAATCCAATCCAACTGAGATGTGAGCAAAGTACTAAATCATCGATTTATTCTGGACCACCAGTTATATTGTTATCACAAGTGCTTTCTCATACGCAAATGCAAAAAGAAAATGCCTTAAAACGGGTTGAATTTCTTATGTAACATCTCACATCCCGTTTACTTAATATGCACACGATTTCCGATAGTTGTGACCAAGCTTATTTATATGTTTATAGGGAGGCGAAGTATAATACAGGAATGATCTGGAAATCTAAATTTCCAAAATTCGATAACTGTTTTAGATCAAAAATCAAGAAAAAATGCACCTTAACATATTCGATAGAAAAGTTTATTAAAATACTTCATATATCTGAGCATGTGTTCGACTTTAAGAAGTTTCAACCAGTATACTAAAACCATTCATCTTTATTAAGATAACATATACACTGAAATCAAAACATAAATATCGTCAATCAATAGAAATAAGTTATTTAGTTGTGAAAGACATAATGATCACATTGAAAAATAGTAAGTACAAAAGAGAAAAATAAAATAAAAAGAAAGAGATCCAAAACTTGATAACAAAAGTTCAGCTGAAAATTTTTCACGAAAGGCTAATAGGATTCAAACGGATTTGAGACTCAATAAATCATATCTATGCAAAATTGAATAATTGACGCGTTTAAAATCTTCCATTGATTAGATTTAACGATGCATGAAAAACGCTTTATACGATAGACATTAACCGTCAGACAAAAACGAAACAGAAAATATTGAGTTGATTGTACAACTTCAATCATTGTACAAACTATTGGCACAGAAAACAGTGGATTTAATCTATTTATACTGTTTTTTGATAACCTTTGTTTAGAATGCTATAATGGAATTTTTCCGCCTATATGCTGAAATAAACAAAATAAAGCTTTTAAAAATCACCTGAAAATAATTATGCAGAAGAAAAATATATCATCGTTAATTTACAAAATTTTTCTTATTGTCCTATCTTCATCACCAACTTTCTCTTCAATATCATTACTCAACTTTGTTGTTAAACTTTTGTCTATATTCTCTTTATCATCTGTTAATAGAACTTTGTTGATGAACGTTAAACCAGCTATGGATAAATAAAATGTCATATAAAGTGAAAATAAAACAAAAACAGTTATAACACCGGTTATTTTTGGATAATAAATGAATGAATAAGTCAAACCGGTTAGATCGAGAATATGAAAATGTAGTTGACATGAGATCAATTGAAATGTTGATGGTAAAATGTTTAATTGTATTAATTCAATATATGATGATGATTCTAATATGAGACGTTCAATGATTATTGTTTTTATACGATATATGTCGGTTGAGAAATAAAATATATACAATGGTAGAAACAGTAAATATCGTGCTATTCTTATTATATTCGATTCATATGGAAAAATAATTGAACGAGAATGATCGGCAATGATTGCACCAAATCTTGTTACATCATCATCATATGATGGATTTGGTTTTGTTCGTAATAGTATTTGTGCTATAAATGAGCCAAGTTGACGATTAATATAACTTTTTGGAACAGAACATTCTAATTCAACTTGATAGTGGTATCGAGAGTCAAGTTGAGCAAGTTTATATTGTGTGAGATTAACAAAACCGACAAGATACGCTGGTATTACTGGTGATGTGTGAATAGTATAGTCGGCCGTTCTAATCGAAGATAATATTATTGGCGCAAGACCTAGCGGAACATTAACATCAAGTTTAGATGTTGGTATGAAATGCTTTTTTGTTGTTATATAAGTAATAAGAGATAAACAAAATAAAAATACGGAAGCAAATAAAAATGAAACAAATGATTGGAGAAAACGAAAGATGAACTGTAATACATGCATTCTAAAAATGATACAAAATTGTACTGTACTAAAGTGAACATATAGACACCAGTCTATTCGTGCTATGATTGGCCTGATGTGCACGACTTTATGATTGTATGTTGAATCAGTACCATGAAAGCGAAGTCCCTATTATTGTCCATTTTCTTGACAAACTTCATCGAGAACAACTAGAGAAAAGACGCTTGTATACTAATGCAGAAGATCTATTTTGACTTTTAACAAACGAAAACTAGAACAACGATATAGTAAAGTTATTACATATACCACTTTTAATACAATATGTCGCTACAAACAAGAATATAAATTTCGCTTATTCAGTGCTTTCTCCCGAGAAAATAACAACAATAAAACCTTCATTTCTTCGTAAAACTGTCATACCCAGATTTAGATAAAATAAAAATAAATAAAATATCTAAAAATCTTATTCGAATAACATAAAATAGAAAGACAACAACAAAAGAAAAAAAAAGAGTTGAAGAAATGAAACGAAATAAAATAGTAAAACAGAGAAAATTGATTTTTTATTTGATAAATCTTTAAATCGTGTTAAAATAATTCAAACGTATTCTATCTAAAAATGGACTTTTCTCTCAAACATTAAGAAATACGTCAATAGATGTATGTTTAGATTTCATTCAACCTCAATCTTCTACATTAAAACAAGAATAAATGATGGTTATTCTGCACAAAAAACAATAAAATAGAATAAAAATAGTTTGAAAACAAAATTTCGTATTTTTTTACTTGAAAAAGAAAAATTGAAGTCACAAATCATTCATCTACGCATACAATTCGCATCATTAAATCCTAGTACATCAATAATTAGAACTGACACATTTATCTTATTAGTACTGCATGGTGAAAACAAAACATTTAGACGAACGGTGTCTGCCATTAAGATCGTCCTATCGTGACTGAATTGACACAAAATATTCTCCTTTCTTTTCTAAATTCACCGGACAAAACTTAAAGACAACGAAAACTACTTTTGAGTAACAGTAACGACAATAACAACAAAGAAAAAAACGTTGGAAAAACCAGAGTAAATATGTAGTCTGAGATTGCACTAATTTTCTTTTCTGGATGTTCAATTCTTCAGATCAAGTTCATTCGTTCTTTCTTTTTGGATCACTAACACCAGCAGCAGTTGTTGTTGTTGTTGGTTGTAATGCTGAATTCTTTTCATCTGTGGTCGGATGATCTTCATAGGCAAACATCGGTTTGAGATCATTTTTCACTAATGCGGTAAACAACGGGAAGATTAAACATAATGGAACAATATATAATAATGCCGGTTGCCCATGCTTAAATATTTGTAGTATTAAAACTGTTACAACCAAAGCAATTATGTAGGCCACAAAAGAAACGTTAAAATATAATGCAGAACCATTCTTGGTTCGTCTTGTCATATCATATCGTAATAATAAGGCAATAAATGCACCTGGCACAACAATATCACCTAAAATTTATAAAATGAGTTGTTTTAAGGGCCCCCTCTCAGAAATTATCTCCGACACCATACATCCGATCTTCACGAACCTTTCAATAAATGTTCGGCTTAATGAGTTACGGGAATGAAAAAAATTTTTTGTCTCCAAGTCTTACTGTTCAGGAGTTTTCCATAGATCAAGGTACAAAAAGGATCCTGAAGTACCTCCCAAGATTTTTTAATATACTTCAAGCTGGAGAGTTTGGGTTTGCTTTGTTTTTAAACTAGACACCTAACTACATGGTCTGACCGGCGCTGATTTTCAATTCAGCCAGGCAACCAACAACCTCCAGGCAACCAACAACCTCCAAACCTTATTCAGAAATCGGCGCCGGTCAGACCATGTAGTTTCCTTTCCTCTTTAAAATAAAAAAAGAATAAACTCTCTACGACAAACCACTATTAAAAATCTTGGGGAATACTTCAGGTGTAACTACCGTATGAAATACTCAATTTTAGAACTTCTAAGAAAATGCCTGTAACTTTTTGATGCAAGGTCATACAGAGTTGTGTGAGGTCTTATTTTGATCAGACAAGTTTGCTCTGCCTAATTTCCAGAGTAGAGCAGTCCAACTTTAGGCAAAGTATTTTAACAAAATCAATAAATTTGATTCAATTCTCCAAACAAATGATCGATTGTAGAAATTTAGTTGATATAAAAACAAAGATCCAGATTTGATTATTAGTGGCACGAAAGGAAACAAAACATTTTCTAATTTATGCTAAGCACTATTTTTAGTAGTCAAAATTTGTAAAAGCAATAAAAAGAGAGAGAAAAATCAAGAAAAGCTTTTTTTTTCAAAAGTAAGGCTAATTCTTTATCTGATCAATACGTGTGTCCTACGAAAGAAAATATTACAGGCGTTTAAGTAAGGAAAAAATATGAAGTACAACTATGAAGTAATTTATTTGAAGAAATTGATGCTTATGTCACCGAGAAGACGTACAAGGAAAATTAATCCTTAATATTATAGACTACAATAGCATAACCTTGTCAAACCCAATTTTTTCTTTCACTTTAAACTTACCTAAGCCTAACATGGCAAATTTATTTGCACTAAACAAACCATTTTCAATTAAATCTTGTGGAAATATCAATTTAATTGGCGCATCGAATGATTTTGCAACTGTAATCATAACATTTGTACCAAAAACCCAAAATATATCATAAACAAACAAACCACTTAATAACACACAACCATTTAACACTTTATTAAAATGTAATATTTCAATGGCATTAATAGAAAATGCAATACCAAATATATTGTTGGCTATCCAATGACGTTTTAATAAATACCATACGCCAACCAAAGCGCATACAAAAAATATTCCAACATCAACTAAATCAAAGTCCAAATCAAGATGCATTTTATCATGTATTGTCGATGATAGTACGGTTGCAGTTGTTGATTCAATCAACTTATTTCCTTTGGTTGGCGGCGTTTGATGCTTTTCCTTTTCTTCAGTCTGTTGTTGTGTATTTTCGAATAATGTTACATGAAATTGTCGTTTTTTTATTTGATTTAGAAAATGAAAATTGAATAATGTTTTTGATTTCAATACCGGTTGCAGTGCACGATACAATGCTACAACACCAATAAGAAAAAAATAAATATTTAAAACAAATGTTATGTATTCCTTTGATACCATCAATATAACGACATAAATTCCAAATAGAAAACCACTAGCAATAAACGGAAACATGGCTGCATCTTTCGCTGTTAATACATCGGGTTTTTCGCCTGATTTTTCTTGATTATTTTTACGTATAATCGATCTGTACGAACCAACATAAACGCATAAAAGAGCCGATAATAAAAGAAATGAATACGATAATAACATTCCATCGGTGCGTGCAACAAATGGAGTTTCTTTTGTTGCATTACTTCCATTAGTTAAATTCGATGACAATGTATTGTTGATAATATCAATTGTATCGAGAATAGGTGAAATCGTCACTCGATCCATGTCTTGTTCTGCTGCCATGTCTCCTCTTCGTTTTCCGTTTCTATTATATCTAGCTGACAAAATACAAAAAAATGCTCACTTTACAAATCAAAAATTTGAATAAGAAAGTTTTCCAAAAATACCGTCAAGTCAACCTAGTGGTTCTCTCAAATATTGGCGAGTGGGTGTTTGTTTGTTCAACCGCCACTGTAAATGTTACTCGTCCATTTTTAGACCATCCAATGAACAAACTAACACATCTGCGATATACAAAACGCAATCCTTTGGTCGTAAACGCGCAAAAATGCTAAGTAAATATCTGATCAGAGCGCCAGCCAGTTGATCAAAGAATTGTATATGTTTACATTAGGTGTCGCCTAATCGCAGTGGATGTCATGTTCTAGTATGCAGCTTTCTTTCTTCAGACTCTCTCAGAAAAGTCAAATTCTTGCGGCAATAGATTGTAGCGTTCTTCGTTGAGCAGTATTTGTTACTAGTGGCTTTACAATACAATTTCATTGGTTTTGAAAAGCAAATAAAAATATATACCTAAACGTGTATAAAGATATATGTATAAATCGAACACAATGCTCACGCCTTCCTTCGGTCGGCGCTCGCTGGGGCCCTACCTAAGGCATCTTCTGGATTTCTTTTCTTTTTTTATGTATAAGGTTCGTAATCTATATAAACATATCAATCAAAAATCTGTAGAGGTCTAAACATATTTCTGAATTCAAAACAACGCTCGTGCTATCTGGCGACATCTACCACCCGACCTACAGAAAACGTTTGCTTAGCTGTTTACTGCTCTGCATCAGTACATATTTCAGATGATCTCTTTGAATATTTTCTCTCTTATGTAAAAAATAATTTCCTACTTTTGTCTCCTGTGATTCGCTTACCCATAGAATATCTGACAGCCATTTTTCCGTATTTTGCGCACACAAACACACACAGACAACTATTTTGTAAGATCCTAGACTAAAGTCAAGGCGAAAATGTTTGAAAAGTTACCCGGCAACTGTCATTCTCATGATTTACATTTGTGTTAACATACACAGTAAGCAAACTTCACTGAAATTTACTTCGACTTTTTATACACCATTCGACAGAGGAGATAGCACTGATCACGAATATCCGTTCGTCGATTTTTTTTGACACTTTTCCGATGGAAAAACTCGTGGTCTTCAAACATTTTTAGAACCAAAAGTCTAGTCACAAAAAAATTTGCAATTTGCGTAGCTCAAAGACGGCAGCTTTAAAATTTGGTTTGCTGCTTCTTTTGGTTGCTGAGAAAAGTCATTTTTTCCAAATCAGAGGCGAAAAAGTCGGAACACAATTTTCAGTTTTGGGTAAAAATCTCGGTAATTTTTCAACGTGAAAATTCGAAAAACATTAAACCAGTCGGATAGGATAGAAATACACATCAGTCGACTCAGTTTTTGATCCTGATTCCGAATATGATGAATATGAATCCGAATATGTTTTTATTGCTCAAAAGTTGAGTTCTGATCGAGTCCGATTTAGAAGAAATGATTTTTCTCAACAACCAAAAGGACTGTGCATGTTAACACAAATGTAAATCATGAGAATGACAGTTACCGATGAAAATGTTCAGAGTAAAACTATTTTTTGTTCTGCTGA